AAAGCTTTGGGTATCATTGATAGGTCTATCTATTTATCTTCTTAGTGTTTTTTTGTTCATTTATAAAAAAAAATGTAAGATTTAAAGAGAGGGATTTTTTTTTTGGTAAAAAAGAGACAGAATTGAATGATGTGAAAAGTAAAACTTTAAGTTACATTTAAAACTCATAATTAAATAGGTATTAAATTCAAAAATGGGTATTTTAGTTAAAAGAAATTCCACAACCTTATTCATATTTTTAATAGTAGTATAAATATAGAATTATAAATGCGTTAAAATTTTTCTATATATTTTTTATTTCTATGTTCATAAAAATAATTCTATTATGTACACTTATTTTTTTAATATGATAAATATATGATATTACACATGTGCCCAAATGTTTTTTTGTTAAATTTATGTATTTCTTTTCACTTTTTTTGTTTTTATATTTTATTAATTTTTATTATTTAATTATGACATTAAAGGTTGACATATTTGACTCAAAAGTTGAACTATTGATCTCCATCAAACAGTAAAATAATTTATTTTTTGGCTAGTTTTAGATTATTTATTTAATTTTCATCATCAATAAAAATAATTCTTATTTATTATACTTATTTTTTAATTTTATTAATAAAAATATCATAAATATGCTTATTTTTTCTAATTTTTGTAATTTTCTATGTTTATTTTTATTTAAAAGTTTTATTATCTAATTATGACTTCATAGGTTGATCAATTTGATACCAATGGTTGAAATTCTTAGTTATCACTTGGATAAAGAATGGTTTTGTTTTTGAATATGGTTTAAAATATATGGGTTTATATTGTTAAAATCATTAGACATAGATCTAATTAGTATCATTTATTTTTAAAAAAAATAAGTAAAATATAAGATTTAATAAGAGAGAATGTGAGTTAATATTTGAAATGTAAAGCATAATGAGTTGAGGATTAAATGAGGTGAAAATGATTAATTGAAATTATATTTTCAACCTTCATAATTAGAGATGAACTAAATATACACAGATGGGCATTTTAATCAAGAAAAGTTCCATACCCTTATTCACACTTTTTTTATTATAGTATAGATTATCTTGGTATTAGGGCATACTGTGTTCATAATTTTAAAGTGCACACCATATACTAGGGCTACATTTTTAGAACCTAGTTCCATATCAAAAGCTTGAGTTTGGATTGTTAAGGTTAATTCTTCATAGATTCCTGGGTCTATTAATAATATTGTGAGCTTAGGGAATGCATTAAAGTATATATCCTTGATGCAAGCTTCCTTTTATTATTCCTATGAAGGAATCACTGAACTTATTATGTTTGGAGTCCCAAAGACAAGCTAGGGTAGTTGTTTGAAGTCCTAATCGAGTTGGTGGTTTTATGGCTACCTGTATAAGCCCAAAGTAAATAAAGTTACAATCAGATTTTATTCAGGAGGCTTCAATAGTCTTCAGTTTATTAGATGGGAATCTTCACATTCATTTCCTAATGCTATTTTTCTTTCTACAGTTCTTATATTGAAAATCCCTTTTTTGTATATTTCGAAAGGTGCCACTTTAGGAATTGTTCAAGATTTCTCTATGTTAATATAACTAATGTCTTCCATATTTTTAATGGATAGGGATTTGGTAAGAGTGGTACTAGAGCTACTTTCTTCAGATGAAATTTCTTGGTTAGACAAATATTTGATAACTTGTTCATTGTACTTGTTTTCCAATTCACCATTATGGTCAGTTAGTATTCAACGACCTTTTCAATCTTCATGACCTATTATGACTTTAACTTGGGTTCAAGGGTTTTAACCTTGTTGGATAGTTACAGTTTTAGCCTAACAGTACTTTGAACTAAGTTTAAGTTTTAGTTTTAACAAGAATGTTAAGACTTACAAATTTCAATAGCTTCAAACAGTGGAATAGTTCTGAACTGATAAATAATAAAATGCCTTTATAAGACTCTATAGACTAGCGAAAAATAGTGACAGTGAATACTAAAACTGATTGTTCCAGGTAATTTCTATAGTTTTAGGTAATTCCTAGTAATTTTCCAAGTTTTCTATAATTTCTAGTTCTTTTATTTAATTTTTTGTAAATTCTAGGTAATTTTCAATAATTATTGATAATTTTTGGTAATTTTCAATAATTTATGAGAATTTCTTATTAACAATAAATTACTGATAATTTATGAGAATTTTCAATGTTTACTAATAATTTATGAAAATTTTCAGTAATTAATGATAAATTTCTAATAATTTTTTAGTTTATGATAATTATTGTTTTATTGAAAATTACATAAGTTTCTATAATGGCTAGTAATTCTTGGTAATATTTTGTAACCTCTATAATATTTGGTAATTTTCTTTAACTTTATTCGAATTCTATCAACTCCTGGTAGTTATCAATAACTATTGATAATTTCTGGTAAATTTCTTCGATCTTTTATAATCTTCTATATTTTTATTAATTCATGGTAATTTTCAACAATTATTGACAATTTGGCCAAATAGAACAAATTCATTGATCAAACTCAATAAATCCCTAAGCGAATGGATTTGGGCTTAGGATGGGCCCAACACTTAAGTCTAAATGATCATTGGTGTCAACCATCCCATGAAACACAATGATAATGGATTGGCGTAAGATAAAGCTCATAAGGTTTCAGTCCTATAAGGGTCTTTTGCTCTCAATCTATTAGGCCTAAATGATCAAACACTCTTATAGGGAAAGACTTTTTCCATGATTGCTAAATATAGTGTTACACTCTCTGCTCAGATGGATATCAGGATTAAAACCTTTTACAAACAGTTTTCATAAAATAATATCATAGATATAAATGCTTTTTGCAAAAAGATTTCAGAAATATTTGAAATCCACTATCGACAATTTTAGGTTTTTATTAGAGATAGTGTTAACCCTGATATTTTCTTTGTCCAGCAAAGGGGCTAATCCTATCACAATGACCACCCACTCAAATAATATTCCRAATTTCTCTAACATACTTAGGTATTTGACCCTAGGAAGATCTCTAGTTTTTCCCAACTATTTTCAAGGTCTAGGACATAACTAGCATTTGGTCCACGTTTTGTGTTTCTTATAAACACCCATTGACTTTATTTAGGTTACATTTATTTGCGGGGTAAATGCAAAAGTCTATCAATTMAGATGTGTCAGTGTAAAAGGTGAACTAGTAGTTTGCATTTTTTACATTCTTCTACATTTGGAAGAAGAATATTTCTCATATTCATTTGGAATAAATAACAGTGTAAAACTACACCCAATTTTTATAACGGCCATTTGCGCCACTTTGATTACCTCATACCCCAATAACCAGTAACACTAAGACATCGTCTTCTTCTAGGTCTAACAAACTTACACTAATTAGTTGAAGTTAGAAGTACATGAAAGAACTATAAATCCAAATCTAGTAAACTTACATAGATCAACCAAAAACAAACACCATTGGAATAAAAGCTATATATGAATCAAAGGAAYAACAACTTTTATTGAGATTTGGTTGAATAAAACATCTAGATCTAAAAAATACAAGAGATAATAAAAACACCACAATAGAAAACATCACAAATCTATACTAGTGGCAAACGTGTAGATCGGTATGTTGGAATAGTAAAGATACCTTGTTCGTCGTGAGATAGATACCACAAGATGCCTTGATCAATGGACCTTCCTCTATTATAGGAAGAATGCATTCGGATTTGGCAAAGGAGAAGAGATGGTGAGAGAGAGAGAGAGWGTGTGTGTGTGTGGAAAGAGAGAAGAAGAAAGGGTTAGATGGCATTTTGTAACCACGATGAAAAAAAAAACTAATTGGCGAAGAAGCGGGAGCAGTTCTTTAGTGGACGTGAATAAGTGGAAAAAGACGTTATTACTTTTCACTTCTACATTGATGGAGAGTTCGACCCACTTTTACATCGATTTTTTTTTATAAGAAAATTACATCAATTTTTGATGTAAAAGTATATATAAATGGTGATTTACATTGATAATGGGTCTTAGTTTATATCCCATCCAGACAAAAGTGGACCACAATGTAAAATTACATCAAACCGGATTTTACACCACTTCCAAACATAGCCTTATGGTCAATGCTCAACAGCTGAGACAAGCAATTCCACAAGTTTAATCCAATGGATGTGAACTTTCTAAACTAATATAAGTCTCATAGGTATCCAATTTAAGGGATAATTCATAGAAATACACCAATCAAAATATGGAATAATAATGAGCTAATTCTATTGATACACAAATCTTAGTATACATCAATCTTATCGGAGCTAAGAACATACATTACCTAAGAGGAATGACCTATAACTCAGTAACTTAGCATTTTGGGTTGTAAGTGATGTTCATCTTTTGTGTGTAAGTGTTATGCACGCAAATCTGTAGCCCAAGGTTTTGAATCAAAAACCTTTTGCATTCAAACTCACTCTCCCTTAAAACTCGCAACAAGTGTTAAAAACCAAACAAGACTTATTGCTTCACTTTTCCTCCTAGATCAATAGAGTATTGTTGTGATTTTTTTTTCTTGGTACCAAAGTATTGTTGTGAATTGAGGGAGCAATTTTTATCACAAAAAAAAAACCGATATATATCAGTAATCATATTAGTAATTAATCCGTAGCCTGTGTTTTGGTTGTGGTGCAAACTCATTTACACTAAATTTGCACTGATGCAAAATTATGGCAATGCAAATTATTTGGGTACAAGTTTTGACTTATTTTTGTTTCAAATTTTACTTTATTTTGTTCGGTTGTAAAATAAAACCCTAAAATCCAAAACAAAATTAAACCAAAACAGAGATTGGTGTAATATGAAAGTTTAGGGGTAAGGGACCCTGTCGTAATATGAAAGTCATGGGGACGAGAGTTCGAATGGGCTCCCGACAGAGYGCGCCCCACACGCATACGCACTGACGCACATCCCCCGTGCACGGGGGGCTGCCGTAATTGTCACTGCCCAAAGTACAGGTAGTAATCTGTAATTTTTACTCTCTTTCGTTGAGCTCGTTGGGCTTGTGAAGCCCCAAACGAATTAACCCTCGTGCTCCCTGCCGTTTTCCCTGCTTTTCCTTTTTCTGTTCTTCTTCCTCCCTTCATCCTCCTCTCTTCTACCTTGCTGTCACTCAGCCATTGTCAAAGCCAGGAGACAGGAGAGGAGCGATGGCCAAAGACGAAGAGGAATTCAGAGGAGGGGTGGAAGAACGATCGATCAACGAGGAATCATCCTCCTCTATGGATCATCACCAAAACCCTAACCACCATTYTAACAACTCTAACCCTAACCCTATGCAGTCATGGTGGGAAGCCATCTCCAAAGCCCGATCACGCATTCACGTCCTTTCCTCAGTCCTCCCTTCATTCCCTTCCCTCTCTTCCCTCGCTGATTCCGACCGCCCCGCTCGCTCCCTCCTCGAGTCCCCCGACGCCTACCTCGCCCTTTCTTCCTCCCTCTCTGACCCTCTCTCCGGCTCCGGCGACGATCCGCTCTGCCAATGGCTCTACGAAACTTTCCAATCCTCTGACCCTGATCTCCGTCTGGTCGTCTTCTCCTTCGTACCCCTTCTCTCTGGTCTTTATCTCTCTCGCGTCGTCTCCTCCTCCCCGCCCGAGAGCCCCACAACCCCTTCTCTCGCCGGATTCGAAGCCGTTCTCCTTTCACTTTACGCCTCCGAGACTAAGGCCCGCGCCGGGAAACCTATCTTGATTTCAATTCCCGATCTGTCGCAACCATCTCTGTACCATGCCCCTCGTAATAAGCCGTCTCCTGGTGCCGCTGCTACCACCAGTCAATCGCAGCCACCCGTCGGGGTTCTGTGTCCCCCACTCGAGCCTCAAGTTGCCGTGAAGTCGACTAAACGGGCTTACATTGTTGCTGTCGCGCTTGATTGCTATTATAGGCAAATCTCCCAGATGCCGAACTGGTCCAAGCTTGACTTCTGTCAATTCGTCGCTGCTTGGGCGGGGCAGAATTGTCCTTGCAAGAGTGAATTTGACGATGACGGAGATGCCAATGGTGCGACGGGTGAAAACTTTTCAGAGCTCAGGGTTTATGAAGATGAGGATGATGGGATTCAGGCTGCTGAGGAAGGGATAAGCAGATTGAAGGTTGCAGAAGATTATAATGAAAATGGTGTTTGTTCAAGAGGTTCAAGAATTCCACTCCCTTGGGAGCTGTTGCAGCCGGTGTTGAGAATTCTTGGGCATTGCCTCTTGGCGCCTCTGAATTCACAGGATGTTAGGGATGCAGCCTCGGTTGCAGTGAGGTGTTTATATGCTAGGTCTTCGCATGATCTTGTTCCACAGGCAATTTTAGCAACAAGGAGTTTGATCCAGCTCGACAAGAGAGCACGCCTTGCGGCAAAGACAGCGGCTGCTGCCAGTGCAGCTTCAAATGCTAATACACCCAGCAAAACGAAGAAACCAGAGGTCTTTCTTGTATCAAAATGATTGGCTGAGTGGAATTTCCTCGGATGTTGTGTATTCAGTCGGCAACTCCTCAGAAACATTGAGATGATTGTTAGGAAGTACAAAGCATGTAAGATTCCTTTCTCTAATGAATTTGTTTGTACTTTTATTTTTTCTTATTTAGGATGGGATCTTATGTTGTGTATAATTTAATATTGTGTATTTTATGTTTTTGTGGCCCGTAGTGGTAGATTTCTTTAGGCATTTGTTGCTTTCTTGTAAGAGTGATGCTCTTCCCGGTTACAGTCTGTAGAGAGTATGTTTGAGGCTTTGAGCATGTTGTTTGCAATCGAGAAGGCTCTATTTCTTCCATTCTATTTCATTGTCTTTACATCGAAATTGAAATATGATAAATTCATGATCAATTCTTTTTGCTTGCTCATATGGTGTGGGTTTCTCTATTTTTGTATATCTGACGTTTTTGTTTGGCTTTAAATTGATTGGTAAGTACTTTACTATGTTTATGGTCTCTGTTATAGTCAGTTTTATATCTTCAAAAAGTATTGAAAATTGTTGATAGCTAGTACTGAGAATATAACATATCCTTCATCTTTTTGTTCCTTGTATCATTGTATTTTTATGAATTATGATTCCCTGTGTTAGGCCATTGACTACAGTGGGCTTGGACTTTGTTGAWCCTCTTGAAGGTTTAAAGGATTTTACCTTGTGACCTTGTGTTTATTTTTCCCTTTTTGTGCAATCCTTTTGACACCAATTTTAGGAGTTAGGGGTCAATTGAAAGGACAATGAAAGAGGGAGGTCGAGCTGTATGGAGGAATTATAAGATCCTTTTCGAATGAATGATTTTTAGCAACTTTTATCAGTTTATGATCTTTTTAAATGGGTGGGGTGTTTTATGCTACCAAATGGACTTTGGAAACACATTAACAAGATCAAGAAGGTTAGATTGTTAGCTTTCAAGTTAACCCTCATTCCAACAAGTTCCAAGTTTCATTGACTTCACAACAAGGCTTTACTACTCATGAAAGAATAAGTAACGGTTGGGATGCTAGTGTATCTCAGCAGGCTATGTTGAATTCTCCTTGAAACTTGAAAGGCTATCAATGGGATTCTTTCCTACTTCCTAAGTCTTACCAGGTAAACGTGTGTACTGGAGATAGGTTTTGTTTGGGGAAGACACTTGGTAACTCCACCTTGAAAGACCTTTACCCTTCCTTGTACTCCCTTTCCATGTTTAAAAAATGAACCCGTTCAGAGGTTTTCTTCCCTCTCCCACTCATCAAGTATAGGCTGGAATTTGGGTTTTAGAAGAAACTTGAGAGATCATGAGCTTGACCAGGTTTCTTTGTTGTTAAAAACTCTTGAGCTTGTTCTTTTGGACCCTTCTAAACTAAACAATCGTGTTTGGACTTCCCATGCCTAGGGCCTTTTCTCTTATGCTTCATTTTTCTCTTCTTTGTGCTCTGTYCCTTCCTCTCTGTCTGTCTATTGCAGTAAATTTTGGTCCAAGCCCATCCCTGATCCCTCCCAAGGTGGGTGTGCTTTGTTGGGAATCCTTTCATGGAAAAGTAAACACTTTGGATAACTTGCAAAAAGGAGACTGACACTTGGTGTTTCTCCAAATTGGTGTATCCTTTGCAAAGCTAGCAGGGAGACTAGGAGAGTTGTTACCACCTACTGACATGTTGCCATTTTGTTCTAGCCCTTTGGGACAAGATTTTTAGTCTATTTGTATGTAGATTGGTAGTTTATTTGACCCTACAACTTTCAGTTGGCATAAGAGAAGAGGTAAAATCTTGTGGAGGTGTGTTTAGAGCTGCTTTGGTTTGGGCAGTTCGAGAGAAGAGAAATGCTAAAATTTTTAATGACAAGGACATGGATGTTGCTGCTATTTGGGAGTGCATGGTCAGTAGGGGGCAATACATTGGGCTAAAGCTTTGGATTTATTCTCACACATCACTTTTGATGACATACAGAGGAATTGGGAATTGGTAGCTAAAAGCTCTCTCCTGTGAAGGAAATGCCTAGTGTAGTTTGGGCCGTCTGGAATTGGGGGGGGGGCGTCTTTAGGAACATGGAATGCCATATTCTTGCCTTATTCTTTGTTCCTATTGAAGYGGGGAATTCTGCAAATGTGAAATTCCAAGCCTTACTATAGGGAGTGCAGATTCCTAGAGAGCTGAACTATGAGAGATTTCTAGATGAAGGTGATTAGAAAGTGTTAATTGGGTGGCTGAAGGATCTAGAGATAGTAACTTGGTCTTATGGGAAACAATGATTTAAAAGGCGAGCCTCCAAGAACCCCCTATTTGCTAATGCTGTTCATTCATTCATCCTAATTAAATATCTTTGTAAAAGGCAATCAAAATTTTAAAATAATTTTGTTTGTGTGTAGGGATTAATAATTTAAGGCCCTAACATGGACTTTTTAGGGATTGCCTTAAGGGGGCTTGGTACAAAGGCACCTCATAGAATCAGGAATGCAAAATGTTCTACATCACATTAACTATTTGAGTATATTTTACGTGGTATGCTTATTTATTTTTAGTTTGGATAATAGGTTTTCTAAAAACATTTATTTTAAAATTTAACTTTATATTTTTAATTAGTATTATGTTTAATATTTTTTAATTCTTTTGCATTTTTTGATTTTGTTTTTTGCACCTTGCTTCAAAAAGGTGTGCACCTTGCTTCAAAAAGGTGTGCACCTTGCCTTGCACCTTGGACGCAAAATGCCCCTTACTCTTTTTTAGTGCCTTGCAGTTTTAAAACACTGATAGGGAAGCTATGGGAAGATTTAAATGGTTGATTGCAAACATAACAGTAACAATTTAATGGGAAAAGATGTTGGCTAATGGGATGGCATACTTTTTAGCTAACAAGGGGTGTTTAAGGATCATTTATTTTGGGTCCAATTGTAATTTTGTTTTTGTTTTGAGGCTGCCTCTTGTGCCTTTGTTTGGGAAGCCGCTATTGTCTATCTCTTTCTTTCGATCTTTAATAAAATTTTCTATTATTCATTAAAAAAGGCTTTGCTACTCCATTGAATAATAAAGTTTGGGGACCATTAGATTTCCGCTTAGATGACAAACATGTTATGCACTTGTAGAAGAAGAAAAGAGAGCAAAATGACATAGGAACAACACATATGCTTCTCTAGGAATYAGTAGCTGGATGAACTTTTAGGAATCAATACCTAATAGCCTCTTGAAGGAATTAAAGCCATTGAAAAGAGCCACTATTAAAGAGGGTAAGTTGGAATGTTAGAGGGTTAGGGAGGGCAAGGAAAAGAGCCACTATTAAAGAGTTGCTAGGAAAGGAGAAGCCAAATATTGTTTTAATTCAAGAATCTAAAGTGATGGAATTTGATAAAAAAATGGGCTAGGAGTTTTTGGAAAGCTAGTTGGAGTTGGGGTGTGCATCCTTGGGGCTTTGGGTGGTATTGTGACAATGTGGAACAATGAGGTTGTAGTTGGAATGGAGGGACTGGTGAGAAAATTTTGTCTTTGTTGAGTTTAAACAAATTTTAGATGGATTTTAGTGGGGGTTGTCAAATGGTTATGGGCCTAATGAATATAGTGTGAGGAAAAAAGTTTTGAGAAGAACTGGAAGACATTAGGGGATTGTGGGATGGGCCATGGTGTATAGGAGGGGATTTTAATGTGATAAGATTCTTGGAAGAAACTAACGATCCGAGAAGTTGAATAAACTTGAGTATGAGGATATTTAATCAAGTCATTGATGCTTTTACAGGCCAACTCAAATTGCTCCAAAGTAGATAGATTTTTATTCATTGTTATTGGGAGGATCATCAGAGGGGTCTAATCTCTAAAGCCTTGCCAAGAGTGACCTCGGATCATTGGTCAATTTCTATTTCTGAGGAAAGTTGGGTGATAAAGGTCCAACTCCATTTAGATTTGAGAATATGTGGTTATGTGCTAATGGATTTAAAGAAAGAGTTAAAGGTTGGTGGGAGGAGAGCAATCTGGTAGCAAAATGAGAAGGAATTAGGTTTGATTGGAAGTTAAAAGAGCTTAAAGACAAGATCAAGGAATGGAATTTACAACAGTTTGGAAGGATTGAGGATCAAAAACAAACTCTGATTACTAAAATTGAGGAGCTGGATGGAAAGGAAGTATCTAGTACTTTGGAAGAGAGTGTTAAGAATGAAAGGTGGTCCTTGAGGAAGGTGCTGGAGGATCATTTAATGAAAGAAGAAATAAGTTGGAGGCAGAAATCTAGGAGCAAGTGGATCAAGGAAGGGCATAGGAACACAATTATTTTCACACATTGGCAAATGGAGGAGAAAGAAAAATTTCACCTCAAAGTTTGAGGTGGATGGAGTTAGTGTTTGCCCTTAGAGGGAGATTGCTCAAGCTTGTGGGGATCATTTCAAATCAATCTTTAGGAAGCCCCCAAGTGATCAAATTTGGATTGATGGATTGGAGTGGCCTAAGCTTTCTAAGGAGTCCCAAAGATGGTTGGAAAGAAGGTTTGGTAGTGGAGAGATAATGGATGCAATCTTGTGATTCTTGTCTATGGAGCACCCGACCTTGATGGTTTTATTATGACATTCTACCAAGATTGTTTGGAGATATTAAAAGGTGACATGTGAAGGTATTTGAGGAATTTTTGAAAGGTGTGTGATTAATTTGGGTTTGAACTCAATTTTGTTGCTTTGATCCCTAAGAAAGATGACGCTTTGTATTCAAAAGATTTCATACCAATCAATTTGGTTAATAGCCTTTATAAAATAATTGCTAAGGTACTTTCTTGAAGAATTAGGGCTGTTGTCCCATCCATAATTTTACATTGTCAAGGGACTTTTGTTAAGGATATGCAAATAATTGATCAGATTCTAATTGCGAATGAAAGTTTGGAAGATATGAAGAGAAATGGGAAGAAAGGGTTTGGATTCGACCAAGGTTCAAAGTATCGACACGTATCGGCTGATATGTATCGTTTTGGGACCCCTCTGATACGCCCCTATAGTGGGTGTATCAGGGGTCTGACCGGTTCAGGGGGTGGAGTCCTAAACCAGCCCTCCTGAACCGGTTTTAGAAAAAATAAAAAAAGTAAAAAAACAGTATCGATTTACCCAATACGCCC